TATATATATATATATATATATATATATATATATTGTAGCACAGCAGTATAGTACTATTATACAGACTTTTGTCTCTTGTACTTTAAAGCCAGTATATGGTATACAGACCCAGGAGTTTGTTTTGAAGTAAACTGTTACGGATAGGAGCTGTAACTGAATATCACATGAAAGAATGAAGCCTTCTTTGTGATGGTTTATGAGGTCTAAAGATAAAACTATATGAATTAAGAGTTTTCTTTCAAAAAATAAAGAGACTCCTGATCAGTAATGCACATCTGGAAAAGAAGGGTGAAAAACATGAACATTTTGGCCCTCTGAGTGTTTTACAACCACCTGTGGTGCTAAACAGAGGCCAACAGAGGAACTGGCCTATGGTGCCTATCTCCAGCTCTCAATGGACAAGAGGCGGGGTACATCCTGGACAGGTTGCCGGTCCATCACAGGGCAACACAGAGACAATGCACACACTTGCACCTAAGGACAATTTAGAGAAGCCACTTAACAGTCATGTTTTTGGACTGTGGGAGGAAGCCAGAGTACCCGGAGAGAACCCATGCATGCTCAGGGAGAACATGCAAACTAAACTCCATGCAAAAAGACCCCAGGCCGGGAATCAATCCCAGAACCTTCTTGCTGCAAGGCAGCAGTGCCACCCACTGTGCCACTGAGCACCCCCATCACAACTTAATATGTGTAAAAAAAAAAAAAGACATTGAGATATTTTTAATCAAGTGATTGATTGAGAAAGATATATCCAAGTTCATTTTACTCACTGATTTTAAGTGCCAAACATTTTTTAATTGCTATTTTTAAGATAGCAGTTTTTATTTATCTTATTATTTAGGTTTTCAACTTTTATTAGGGAAAGACTGACTAATAAGTAGTTTTTTGTGTTGAGTTTGGTTCAATTAAAAAAAAAATATTTATATGTATGTTGCTCAATTCTATTTTAGTGTTTTTTTGTGCTATGCTTTATATGGGTCACGTGACTACGTCATGTCTGACGTCTTATTTACTCTTCACGGAAGCAGTCGGTGCCGCTGATGGCTGCCTTGTCAGTTTAGCAGCAGGAAGAGGGTGTCAGCTTAGAATGAAGGGATAACATTATATGAATAGAATACATTTTATTAACCGAAAAGGTTGCTGGAGAGTAATTTCGTCGGACCAGCGGGGAGTTTGGCTCCTAATTTACTGGATAAGAGGCGGACTGAAAACTGACGCCGGATAGTAAAAAAAAAAATGTCCCTGTTTCAGTCAGCACTGGATTTCCTAGCCGGGCCCGGCTCGTCCGGAGGGGCCAGCCGGGACCAGAATGACTTCGTTGGACAAGTTGTTGAACTCGGTGACATGAAACTGAGAATCAAACGGGTGATCGCTGAAGGTGAGAAAGTGTTCCGCAGCCACAGAACAGACTGTCACGGCTTGTAAACATGGATGCTAGGTAGCTGAGCTAGCTAACAACGTCCGTTGCGTTGGCTAGCAAACGGCTAGCCTAGCTAACAGCAGGTGATGATCTGGTTTCTACTAATCTTATCATCTGAAAATGTTATTGAAATCACGTCTGATGACATAATTTATCTATTTAGAAAAAAACTAAATCAGCTGCTGATATTTACTGGATAGACACTCATATGACCTCAGATTAAGAGAGAGATGTTTGCGTTGCATCTGCATCAGGACAGACGCAAAGATAGAATAAATGAATAAAACTCAGAATAAATGCTTTTCATTCAGGCCTTGCATTAGTCTGCTTATCCCTGTCTACTTCAGATAGAGGCATGTCTGATGTAAAAATATGTATTTTATGTAAAGTTAGTAAAAAGTGTACGTATATAAATCATTTTCTGATCTACAAAGGAGCAGTGCTGTCTATACTACTAAAAAATGAAAACTAATTTAAATTGTCATTCAGTTAAAAAAGAAAAAAGTTGCCTGTAGCACCTGCTGAATGCTGTCATTTCCTGTATGGAATGAACATAGTAAATTAATTATATTGAGACAATTATTTGTTATTTGTAATTTAACAGTAGTCCCTGTTAAATTATAGTAGAAAAGGAAAAATAAAGATTCTCGTTGCTTTGTAAAATGAAACAAAAAATCAACTGAATGAAATAATTTTACTTTGATATGAAAAAAAAGACATGAAATGTAGATGGAAGAGAAATGACAACAATATTGTTAGAAAGTCATCTTTCTCTTCTGTACTATCGGCTTGCTCACCAGTATTAACCCATCTTAGATGTCCCTTCAGAGGTTAAAAGAAGACTAACTAAACCAAAGGAAGAGGATCATTTTACATTTACCCCATCTTGCTCTTTGAAAGGTTTCTTTGTTATTTTTGTACCGTGCTTTTTGATTTGCTTATATAATAAACTACTCATACCTTCTCACTTTTCTTTCTCACCTGCAAGTTTGTTTATTGTATTTTTGTCAGGAACCTAAATATATTTTATTACATTTCAACCAGGCAGATCCAAAAGATAAATTTCAGGTTTCTTTCTCACTCTCTTCTGCAGAGTATCATGTCTATAGCTTCATGCTTTAAACCCACTACTAAAAAATGATTTAATAATGGACTGGTTTAATGCTCTTCATGCTAAATTAAACTGCATTTTTCAGTCTTGGGTTCAGAAATCTAATATAGGCTGGAATGTCCCCCACATGCGGAGGAAAGGTGTGTGTCTGTGCGTGCCTATTAGGTTACTCAGTTGAATCCCAAACATGGTCAGGAATGGGATAATTAATCCATCTTAAACACACCTGAGCAGCCATCCTTTGGTAAATAAATCGTTAACAATTAGAGACCGGGAGCAGATGCTTTAGGTTTTTGCCGAGCAAGGCAGGTAGTTGATTTACTCATCACTATGGTGATTGTGCTTTTACTGTGTTCGAACTGGATTGTTGGGGGTGTCTTTGTTGAAGCTTACTGTCGGCCTTCTAACGCACACTAGGCTGAATTCAAATCACAAATTTTTCTCTAGAGTATGTTGCACAAACTTGTTCCATGCATCACATTGCAACATGTCCAAATAATTTCATTTTGTGAGAGATTATACTAATTTTAAAATGGTTCTGCCACCGTCTTGGAACCAACCACTCTATAAGAGAAAATGTATATTTCCATTTTAGACTCTTAAGGTTTAACACTAAAGCTGGAGTCGGAAAGTTTGCTGAATTTGGTTTTAGTTTCATAAGCTCAAACTACTCTTTTAGGTGGCTCAGCAATCTGCAGATAAGAACGTGGTTGTTGTGTCACTTGCAGAGTGTATCTGAAGCTCTGAGTGCTTCCTCTGGTTATATGCTGGAATTTTAACTCAGCCCTCTGTGAACTTAGTTTTATTTTTTCTTATTCAATAATCAATATTTTAACACTGAAAATATGCCATGGGGAAATGAATCCTGAACACCCAAAGTTGATTTTAGACAGTAGTTATATAGGATTGCATGTAACAATCACCTTATTTGTCATTCCTTTTAGTTGCCATTCAGAATATTGTTTACATGTAAAAACTTTTGCCTAATTACCTGTTTCTTTTAGGTGGATTTGCTTTTGTGTATGAAGCCCAGGACATGAGCAGTGGGAAAGACTATGCTCTGAAGGTAAGAGGAGCTTTCTGTAAGGCTTTGTGTTTAAAACTGATTTGGTGTTTGATTTACCTTGTAGAAAGAAAGAGACTCCTGATCAGTATGTGAAGTGTACACCTGGAAAAGAAGAGGAAAAATATCGACATTTTGGCCCACTGAGTGTTTTTAACCACCTGTAGTGCTAGACAGGGGTCAACAGTGGAACTGGCCCCTGTGATGGCTGATAATTTTCTAAATCATCTTACTAAATCAATTTCATTTGATGATATGCGCTGGTGAACAAATTTAACTGGTTTTTCCTCTGGATCATTATCGTTTCTTTCAGTTTAACAATGGTTTATTAAGGGTTAGTCATGTTTAGCTTTAGCCCTGCTGAGATAGGATCACATTTTCATCTGATTAATCAGGGGTCTGAAACCTTCAGCCCCGGAGGGAATCGGTTTACTTAATGCATTAAACAATGGATGATTGCCTGAATGTTTTGTTTTTATTTTTTGTTTTTTGCTACATTTAGTCTTTCCTGAACCTCCTCTCTTTGCCACACACTTGTAATTTCAGTAAATGTTGCAATACTGGTTGAGGATGCAATGAATTTCTGCTTTTTTAAGTTCTAGCCAGTGGATCCAGGCTTTCTTAAACTTAGCCATCTAGAGAAGAGGTGACTTTACACTAGGTGGGATAGGATCTTACATATATCTGGAGTTAAAGAGGTTTTTATTATTTTTTAAAAACGCAATTGCCAAGCTGATGTTTAAAACTTGTTGATACATTTTAGCTTGTAGTAATCAGGCATTTTTATAATTATAATTTTTTTTTTTTTGGACTTTTTAAACCCATTGCTCACCATGTTTAGATCTGTTGCCAATATTTCTAAACTTGTTCCTCTGTGGGCAGACTTTGACATTTTAAAATGATCAAACCAAACACCTTTGGTGTAATACTTTCAGCCTTCCTGCTGCCATTTGCTCCCCATGTTGGGCGACACAAACTGCTTTAAAACACTTTTTTGGCTTCTTTTGTATTATTTTCTCTAACATCTCTTAATACAATAAAAAAAAACTACTTTGTCATAATTCCTCAAACCTCTATGCTCATGAGTCTTAACAGAATTCTCAAAGATCATCATTTTAACTTCCACTCATCCTATGAATGATCAGTGCCTGTAATGTGTAATGTCAGATTATTTTCTCCACTGGTTTTCTCACTATATGTGATGCCTGCAAATGTTTTCAGCTGTAATGTGGCTTTATGCTTTAAGATTCATCTCTTAATGCAGAATGAATGAATCCCTAAACATTATAGTGACAAGTCATTTCTTAAATGTTTTTATTTTTATTTTGTTTTAGAGGCTCCTGTCCAATGAGGAGGAGAAGAACAAGGAGATTATACAGGAAGTTTGCTTCATGGTATGATTGAACATCCTTTGCTTTCTTGTTTTTTTTCTCTGATCATATATATTATTTTCTCTTTGGTTTAGAGCAGATGTCGTCACGTGAAACAAGTTAAAAAAACCTTGTGTTTACTAATCTGTTTATGCTGAGTCAGCAGTTTATTTTATAGGCAAACATTAGTCAATACACACTATTAGTAGTTAGTGTGAATTCTTCAGGCTAGTGTTCTTCGGTGTGTTAGAAAAACTGCCTAACAGAATATCTATGATAGTTCTCAGTCATCCAGGCCATGGTCAAGCTTGAAAAGTTCAGTTTAGGCATCTGGGTTCAAAGTTTTCCAGAAGACATTTTGCCTCTCATTCAAGAGGCTTCCACAGTTCTTACTATACTGCAGGTGGAACAAACGAATTATGGGAAAACAAAAGGCGGCTGTGATCCCTCCTACTGGATTGGCCATGGAAGTCACCTGATGGGTGTTAATGGTTGATAGGTGGTTCTGATGGGTCGTAACCTCCCTTGTCAGATTGGTTTTGGTCACATGCATCATTGAAGTGTGAGTCAGGTGAGGGCAGGTGAGAGGTGAATCTTCTGGTTATTGTTCCTTAAAGTGATTTGTAGGTGGGCGACAGGTTATGCCTAAGACCATCTCCTCCCCAACACTAAACAGAGTATTGACCAAAATGCAAGTTATTAGAAAATTCTAGATTGGGTTTCTGTGTAAATGGATCAGATCCAATGGGGTGGATATATTTGATTTGAACCCTTAAAGTTGCAAACATTATAGAGGCACCTTGGATAGATAAAAATAATAATAGTAATCAGGAATATATCTCTGGACCTCCTCAGATGAGCCTTGTCCTGCCTGAGTTTATGTTTATTTTTTAAACGGTGGCAAACAAGCACTAACAACATGTGAAATATCTGCCAGAATACTGATCATTAGATTAATGTGTTTTGGTGTGAAATATGAGCATTGACTTCAAAGAAAAAAGTAGAAAGACAGACAGAAGATTCTGGCAGAGGAATAAGGTCATTATCCATTGTGAAACAAGTGAAGTTAAGTTTTAAAGCTGTTTCCTGTGGTGTCATGAAACGGCCATACTGACCATAGTTGCATTTGCAGAAAGAAGAGCGAAGCTTAGAAGCCTATCCAAAGTGGGAATTATGGCGGGTAGCACCATCATTATGTCTTTCCTTGTGGTAGAAGCTACATCTTAAGCCTTCAGCCAGGAGTTTAAAGCTTGGCTGATGATATTAAGTATGCCAAATGGGTGTGAATTGTCTTAGACAGGACATAATAAATCCCTGATTCAAGTTGCACAGGAATTTTTTTTTTCAGAGCTGAAAGGGAATGTTAGCAGGTGAGCCTACAAACCTGATGGACAGTCCTGTTGATACTTAAAACATTTGACCCAAGGCATAACTTTAAGAAGTCTACCTAACACTAAGGAAACAACTGCAAACATTTTGCATTTATTTGAAGAATGTTTTAATAGAATAGATTTAAAGTTTTCTCCTCATTTGTCTGACATTCAACAAATCATAAGTTAAGTGATTCTAGCTGACCTTAAACGGGGGAAGTTGAGTCTGCATGTGTGTTTTTTTACAGTGAGGTCAAAGATTTCAGTTTAAAGTGTATCAGATGTCCAGTCTTAGACGAACCCTGACGTCACACCAGTGTTTATTTTCTTTCCCCCCTGCTTCCTAGAAAAAGCTCTCAGGCCATCCAAACATGGTTCAGTTCTGCTCGGCTGCATCCATCAGCAAGGAAGAGTCAGACACCGGGCAGGCAGAGTTTTTGATCCTCACCGAGTTGTGTAAAGGTAAAAACTGACTCCCACTGCCGCACACAGACAACTTCCTAAGTTCTAGTGAATCTCCTCTCTGTGCCTAATCGTAACAGACTTTGGGCTTACTCATTCATCAAATGTAGTAACCCCAGTTCAGGTGACGTTGCAGTTTCTCAGGAACTCAGAAACCACAAAGATTTTGTGATGCAAGTCTCTCTTTTTGTGGCCTTTCGTTTCCTGCCTTCTTCCTTTTTTTCCCATTACAAAAGGTCTACAAAGACCAAAATCAGTTTGAACAGTTTTTATTTCTCATTAAAATATAATTTACATCTCATATAAGTTGGTTGGGAATGTTTAAAATGGTTGATATGGATGACATTCAATTAAGTTATTTTATGTAAAATAGATTTTTCTTGAAGAAATGCTTCTATTTCTTTTTGTCATTAGATTATATATAGATGGGTGGACTTCATCATTAGCATAAAAAACAGGAACAAATTCCTGTTTTTTCTATATAAAGAAGAAAAAAAATGGGGCCCTTATTTTTAAAACATTTTTTCACAAGATAAACTCTTAATATAATGCTTATTTTTTGTAAAATAATCATAATCTTTGAATACAAAACATTTACATTAATATAAGAAAGGTAAAATGTTTTTCTCAGGTGCCATTGTGTGTTGTATAAAATGATCTGATTTGAAAATCTATTTTAAAAAAGCATGGTTCATTGATTGATCTTGGAGGTTTGCTCTGCTTCAGGTCAGCTGGTGGACTTCATCAGGCGTGTGGAGCAGAGAGCTCCTATGTCATGTGACACCGTGCTGAAGATCTTCTACCAGGCTTGCCGTGCTGTGCAGCACATGCACAAGCAGAAACCTCCCGTCATCCATCGAGACCTAAAGGTTGGTCAGTTAAAAGCTGAAGGAGAGACTGATGCCTTAGAAAGCGGCTAAATGATGAGCCTGTTTATAAGCAGTTGTGCTGAATAAGACTGCCTGTTATGTGTTTCAGATTGAGAACCTGTTGATTAGTAACCAGGGCACCATCAAGCTGTGCGACTTTGGCAGCGCCACCACAGTGTCACATTATCCCGACTACAGCTGGTCTGCACAGAAGAGGTCAATGGTGGAGGATGAGGTACACACACCGACATACACAGACTTCCCTAAATTTAAATGAGAAATGAGGCCTATGCATTGGCCAGTGTCTTTTGACTGAACCAGAGTTTATAGACAGGATTATCAGTGTTTTGTTTCTCCTCATGTCACCACCGGTTCCCTCGTGAACCCAGTGCTGCCCCCTGACAGTCTTTTACCCCATTTACACTACCCTTGAAAAACCGATCCATGCCAAGACCGGTCCAAGGTCGGATCAGTTAACCAGGCCGAGCTTGGTTTTGACGACCATTTACACATCACGCTATCTCTGTTCCTCGACTCCTCGCCTCCTAGTGACGATCTGCGGTATTACTGCCAGTATTGAAGGAGGAAATCAAGCAGTTGGTGGCAGTAATGCACCAAAAGTTGTTTGCCAACTGCCATAAAACACAAGAAGAAGAAGACGAAGTAGGAGGGAATCAAGCAAATCAAAATGGCAGCGCCCGTCACATTCAGAAAGTTATGCTTGATTATTATTGCTGTACTTCGGTGTTTGTGGAGGGTCAGGCGAAGACAGCAACCTTTCGTGGATGTATATAGTTGTTTAATAGTTGTTCTTCTTCTTCTGTTTTGTGTTGGTTGGCAAGCAACTTCCGGAGGGGCATTACCGCCAACTACTGGAATGGAGTGTGAATCGGGATGTGCAGCTAGACGGAGATGACGTGTTCTGCTCATGCACTCTTGTTATCGGAGAACAGAGTCAGGGAAAAACCGAGCCGAGCCCACCTCTGAAACTGGTCTGCAGTTAGCTCGGTTCGGTTGTGTCTAGCTCGGTTTAGTTCAGTTTGCTTTCCATTTACACACGATAAGTTATCTCAGTTACTGAGCTTGCACCGGTCTTTGCACGGTTTTTCAAGGGTGGTGTAAATGGGGTATTGGATTCCTCACTTGCTTTATGTTTACCAGATATTATTCTGTAACCAGGGCTATTATGGTTCCTTTCTGAACTATTAAAGGTTTTATAATGGCAAGATTTACAGGGGATTTTGTTAATTTATTTTATTTTATTTTTTTATAAAATGAATTAACATGATGGCCAAAATTTCCTTTACATTGGGTTGCTCTACTATAGCCCCCAGACTAAACGCTGCTTTATGTCTATTTATTTTTGCCCTTTGATGCAGCATTATTTCTTAAATAAAAAAATTACAGTTATAAAACAAGTTATATCTAGGCATGCAGTGTCTAATCTTTTGATAATTTAAAAGCAGCCATATTAAAATGGACATTTTTAAATCCTAAAAAAATAACAAAAGAGGGAGAAACAGTTAGATGTTAAATGAACAATCTTCCTTGATATTCTGAGAATATTAAGCAGTTTAAAAATGTACCTGAAATATATTTAATAAGGTGGAGAGGCTTTATTCTTTGTTCCTAATAACAGAAAATAAATATATTAGTTAATGTCTCATTTTTCATTGAATCCAAACCAAATATTTAATCTTGGTGTTTGAATGAAATCTTAGATTTAAACATCCAGAAAAAACACTAATTGATAATAATACCATAACTAAACAGAGACATGAATTACTGAGAGCTTTGCCTAAAATGAGTAAACTGTGCTGAACACAATAAATTATTGATCTAATAATGTCTGCTAATGTTTTCATAGCAGCAGCGCTACATTAACACTCAAACAGCTTGCATGATAGAATTTTGTTTTTGAGAAAGTCTTCATTTTATACTATACAAGGATAAAAAAAATACATTTTTTCATTTTTAAATGGAAGTTTTTTTTCCTTTAATTTACTAGAAAACAATTTAACTACCAAGTTGAGACCTAAACATGGGGCCTCATCTGAGTTTTGTTTTGTTTGTGCTGCTCTTTGCAGATTACAAGAAACACTACCCCAGCATACAGAACACCAGAGATGATCGATCTTTACTCTAACTTCCCGATCAACGACAAACAAGACATTTGGGTCAGAGCCTGGAAACGTCCTTGCTTTTCTCATTTTTCAGTTTCACTGTCAATCCTAAAATAAAATCTGTGTGAGTTAACAGTTCAGACATCTTCTCCTCCATACAGGCTCTCGGATGCATCCTCTACCTGTTGTGTTTTAAACAGCATCCATTTGAGGAAGGAGCCAAACTGCAGATAGTCAATGGAAAATACTCCATCCCTCAGAACGATGTCAAATACGCCGTGTTTCATGACCTCATACGTACGGATTGCATTTTTCATTTACCTTTATTGTGCTTCTTCCTTCTCTTCTTTTATTCCTGCCTGCTCTGTTTTCTGCATCGCTTTAATGAGTTTTATATCAGTTTTAAAGATGATTGTATTGTCATACACCAGTTGGTAATCAAATTGCCCCTGGTTATGTTTTTTGGTCAAAGAGACTCATCATGAAAGAGAACAAAAAAAGAACAAAAAAATCAATATTTGAAGTCTTTCACAAAGTACAGCAGTAATTTGGAAAATAGAACATGGAAAATAATTAATATGTATCCTATCATTTAAGGCTGCATTTCTATAAAGTGACTTTTACGTTTGAGTTTTCAGAAATGTGCTGTTGCTGTTTAAACTAAGAAGTTGTTAACTTCCTGATTAGTTCTGTAATTTTAAAGTATAAACATGAGGATTTTAGAGAAAAAATAAATTAAATAATTTTAGGGTTTTAAAGGGATTATCTGAAATTACTTTGTGTGTTTGTTTACAGATAACATTAATTGCTGCCATTAATAGAAAGCTTCTTGCCTAATGCTTGCTGGATAATTTGAGCATTTAAAAAGGAAAAACATCAAACTGTTTTAGCACCGCAATTTGATTTCTGTGCTTAATTCACACCAAAAAGGATGAAGCTGATTGAAAACTTTTCATTCTCTTCAAACTGACCCGACATTCCAGGAGTTCTCAGTATAAATACAGATTTCTTCTCATCTGAGGCTCACAATTTGGTTCCTATCTTTGAAACTTGGGCACCATTTTATCTTGCATCAGGACAGTGATCTCGTACATACTAAACTTTCCTTGAAATGGATAAAACAGAATAACTTTAAACATTTTGGATAACCATGCAGGATTTTGGAAGTAATTTACTTTTCAGACAACTAATTCTGCCAGGAAGGAGTCAGTCAGGATTATAACAGGAGCTTGATGATGGCTAGGAAACGTCTCTGAGGTGAAGCATGGCATTAAAATAGAAGTCAGTGGGGCTTTATGTACCCATTCATTTATTCGTAAATTAGAAGATTAATTTAAATCAGTAACTCTTATTACATAAAACGCAGTACTTCTATACAGATTGGTTTGTTTTTTGAAACCTTTAGTTTTATTTAGGATGATATTCTGCTGAAATGTGACATTTAAGATTAGATTACGGCAGATCTGAAAAAAGCTAATTGTATTACAACAATAATATTTTTGATACCCGTTTAAAGATTATTTTCAAAAGGTACTTTTGAGCCTCATTGTATAAATAACCAAGTTTATAGATTATAATATTATAATTATATATTATATAATATATATATATATATATATATATATAATTATTTTTTTTTTTACTCAAGTCAAAGTGTAATAGTAGCATTCTTTAAAAATACTTGAAGTATAAAAGTAAAAGTAATGCAGGAAAAAATGTTAAGGACAGAACTTTTAAACCTTATAATGCATTAACCTATTAAAGGAACATTTTTCTATAATTCTGGATGATAACTTCCTTATACTTAGTTTTACAACTAATGTTTACAGCGTCAACTTTAACTTTGAATCATCTTGCAAATTATTTTTTGGTATGTGGTGAACAATAAGAAATTTAGGTGAAATTCAATCATTTATTTAGGTGTTTTTTTTTTTTTTTTTATAAATACCAGCAGGCCGTAACAAAAATTTGCTTAAATGAAACACAACTAACGAGTCTATTTTTAAAATGTAAGGAGTAGAAGTAAAAATTTGTTTTAAGAATAATGAGTCTAGTGAGGTATAGATATCCAAAACCTCTACTCAAGTGAGGTAACAAAGTATTTCTACTTGACATCTAAGTTTATGTATAATGTAACCCTGGATTAATTACAAAAACTTCAAACATTTGCATACAGTAATTATTTTTGAAAACTTGACTTTTTGATGTTTTGTTTTTTTCCCCAACAATTCCAGCAAATGAATTGTATTATTACAGAATTAAAAGCCCGAACTTAGTGGCTTTTCTTCCTGTGATTAGTCATTGTAGACCTCTAACTGAATCTGTAGGCTTTCTTTTTAACAGCAGTATAATTTTGCACACTCCTTTAAAATCTTTTTCCTCAAACTCCTTCTCTTTAACGTATAAAACTGTCTTCCATCCCCTCTTTGTTAGGCTCCATGTTGAAGGTGAACCCTGATGAGAGGCTGTCTATTACAGAGTTGGTCAACCAGCTGCAGGAGATTGCAGCTGCTCGCAACGTCAACCCCAAGTCTCCAGTAACAGAAGTGAGTGGCCAAACCTGTACAAACTGGGAGAACAAAAGCAAGATAAACTGCTTATATTTTATTTCTTTTGTAGATTAACTTTTTGGCGTCTTGTTAATAAGTCATTTTTGTTGGCTAAGGCGGCTCATCTGTCTGTAAGCGTGTGAGAGGCACACAGCGGAAGGAGCTCTGTGCCTCTCAAATTGCTGATGCAGTTCCTTTACTCTTGTAACACATGCACTCGGTGGCGGCACAAAGGAGACGGTTTTCTCCTTTTCTGGCTCCTTTACTGGGTTACTATGTGCTTATAGCAGCAAACAGCCAGAAGTTTGAGATCTGTTGACTAAATGAAATCAGAAACATGACAGAATAGTAATCTTGTGGGGGTGTTATTGTTTAGTCAAAAACTCTAAGGGAGTCTTAGAAATGTTTAAATCGGATTTAGGATTTTAGGCTAAGATGATAATTTTCTGACCGAAATCCCTGTACTTAGTTAAATCTGATTTTTAGTTTGAAATTGGTAGTTTTACAAATACTCATTGCTTCAACTTTTTGATCTGCAGTAATTCTCTGATAGAAGGATCTGAATCAGTGTTTAGTATCCTTTAAATCTCTCTACAACTAAACTAATTTTTGTTCTTGTTTTTATTTTTTGGCTAGAAGTGAAGAAGTTAAACAAAAATGTGTGTGTGTGTGTGTGTGTGTGTGTGTGTGTGTGTGTGTGTGTGTGTGTGTGTGTGTGTGTGTGTGTGT